AAGAAGGCAAGCCTTGGCAAGGATCGGATCACTGAAGGTTGGTGTTGTGAGGCGCCACTCCGACACGATCAACGCACAGGTGCCGGAGAGAGTACCCTGGCTCGGGAGCCACTTCCCCGCGTGTCCTGAGGTTGGCCTTCTTGGGGAGCTCGGCCGAGTGTGTGGCAGTCACCTTCTGCAGTTGGACGAGGGCCTGGTGGTTCTCGCCCTGCGCCCACCGCAGCTTGGCGCTCTCCAAGTGGAACTTGAGGCTTTGTTGATTGGTGCTGCATTCACGGGTACGTCATTAAGTACTCCCGGCCTACCTATTCAAGAGAGAAAGGGAATCCAGTGCAGCATACCTGGCTCGCAGCACGGCGGCGGATGCGGTCTGGTACTGGGAGGCCGTTCTTGCCACTTTGGCGATCTGCAACCAGCAATCGCTGGCCTTGTCGGGCATCCCGTGTAAATCGAAGATGGCCCTGCACATACACCGATTGTAGGCGGCCCACAACAGGTGAATACATAATGTGAGCGACAAAGCAAAATCGAACTTTCGGAAGGGCTACCGTCGAAGGTTAAGAATCGGTTCGCGCGTCTTGAAAGAGGGCTGCGTTCTGCGCAGGCGGGTGTCCCACGAACTCAGCAAGTCTTTGACGCCATCACCCGTCGAGCTGAGGCCGAAACTCTGCTCCAGCTCTGCTCGCGCATACCACACGGTAAGATGTTGCCAGTCGCGGAGGAGCTCGGCTCGATTGCAAGTGTTATTGGTAGCGGTACCGTGTAGCATGTGCAGCTTGGTGATGTAGGGGTAGGCACGCTGGTACGACTCCATGCTCGCAGCCGAAAGAACGCCCATGACCTCGGCTCTCGTCTTCTCCAACAGTTTCTGGAAGAGTGTGTCGTCCTGCCGCTTGATGGCCGACACCAGACCACCGATCGCCACCTCGAAGTCCAAGGGCGAATCACCTGCCAGTCACCGTCCCCACAGGTGGTCAGCATGGCTTGCAGACTCTGCAACAAGGCGATGCAGTCAAACAGCGCTTACCGAGA